CCGGTTTCCGCCGGCGGGGCTCGCCGGTCCCGGGGCTCGCCGCCTCCGCCGCCGCCGCCCTTCGCCGTCCCGCCTTCCGCCGTCGCGGGGAGGAGGAGGAAGGAGTGCGCGGCCCTTCGCAGCACACCACAGCTTTATTGCACCGACACGCGGGGGCCCCACGCCGCCCCGGCACCGCAAACGCCACGCCAGAGGGGAGCGCAACCCCGGCGCTGCGCCCCCCCCGCACAACACACAGCCACGGCAAGCGCCACACCGCAACCTCGGCCCGGGACCTCCCGAGCCAACACCGAGCCCTCCGCCGAGCCCAGCCGGGCCTCGGCTCTGCCAGAGCCGCCGGGGCGACTGAGCGCACCCGGGAACCGGGTCCCGCTGCCCCCGGTTGCCCCCCGCTGCCCCCCGGCCCCGCACCACCCCGCCGGCACCGCCCGCAACATCCCGCCGGGCTCAAGTGTCGGACATCTCCGCCTCCTTCTCCTTCCAGAAGGAGAAGCTGCGGTCGATGAAGCGGCAGACGTCCTCCTCGCTGAACTCGCCCAGCTCCGGTACCGGCACCGGTACCGTTTCCCCCTCCCTTCCCGGAGCCGCGGCGGGGGGGTCCGGCGGGTTCTGGCCCTCCCCGAAAAACTCCTGCACGAGGTCGTCGAAGCCGTCGAGCCAGCAGCGGTGGCCGGTCTCCACCCGCTCCAGCGCGGCGCGGTGGAAGCGGCGGACCCGGTGCCAGCTGTGGCTGCCCAGGCGGTCGAACATCTCGTAGCAGAGGAGATGGCGGAACCTCCGCTCCTCGGGGCTGAGCGGCATCTCCAGCAGCTGGAAGTAGCCCAGCATGAAGAGGTCGAGCGGGAGGCTGTCGTGGGGCAGGGGCGACCCTCCGACGTAGGGCAAGAAGTGCTGGGGCCAGTAAAGCCCCGTGGAGCGGCTCAGCCGCCGGATCTGCCTCCCCGGTACCCGGCGGGCCACGCTCCTCCAGCGGGCTAGGAGCCTCCCCGCCGCCGGTCGCCGCCTCCCCGCCCTCCGCGGCCGCTCCTCCCCTCCCGCCGCCGCCAGCGCCCGTTTCTTCCAGTGCTCCAGGAAGAGGAGGACTGCGCGCTCCCTGCGCGCCTCGGCGCGCTCCCGCGGGCCGCCCGCTCCCGCCCGGCTCCGCCGCGGTGCCCCGGCCCCGTACTCCTCCTCCAGGACGGGGCGGCGGGCGTTACCGGGGGGCTGCGCCCGTTTGCGCTTGGTGA